GGGGGGGGGGGGGGGGGGGGGCTTTAAATATCAAACAAGGTTTACAATCCTGGTATTATACCTGGTCTCGTGGGTAACATATGAGCCGAAGTTCCTTCCAACAATGCAATGCCAGGTTGGATTGTACTTTTTGTCAAACTCCTTCTTGATGTACGCAGCAATATCCTTCTCAATATTGTACTTCTCCAACGCCTAGACAGAACATACACTTAAAAACCTTAATTTACCTTTTAAACTTTTCAAAGGCGGAAAAAAAGATTAAAAATAACCGTTATATAATTTTCACTTTAAGTACCCCCACCCGGCCCCATACTTCCAGTGTACTACAGATTATTAATCATTACAGCAATAGATACGAAGATAAAATGAGAGAATTTTTCTCTCAATGTTTTAGCGAACAAGATATCCTATTGTTGATTTATTTTGATATTGAATAAAGCTGTTAAGAAGAAGGTTATTTATTATGCTACTTAGCGGTAAAAAGAGGTGGTAAGGCAATTGGCTATAAAAGCCGGCCTTTTATACGAACTGGTTAGGGGTCGGGCCCTGAGGTCACATGTAATAATGTGTAAGAAACTTGTGGAATATTCAGAATAAAGGAGTTCAAAATTTCATTCTGGAGAATATCATCGTTTTCATTAAAATAGAGATCTTAGAGATTTGTCAATCCCTGAAGATTTAGAATAAATAACTTAATTACCAGCAAACAAATAAATAATTTCAATCAGGAAAAGTACGATTAACGTAAAGGAAGCAAAAAAGACAAGAGTAATAATTATAAACATCTAAACCTGTGTCGCACAATCTACTGCATCTTGCTGCATCTCTTCTGACATATCAGCATTCTTGATCACGGCCTTGCGGTCAGACATTTTAAGACAATTTACGAGATCTGCAATAAAATATGTTAAAGGGGGGGGGTCCAAAAATCGTATACTAGGAAATTACCAATTTATGTTTAATGAAAACTTGAAAGACACTTATTACAATAGTATTCTAGTATGGACTATAGATCCCTCTCTCTGAAGCTGTGAAGTATAGAGTATCAGTGTGATCAATTCTGTAGCAACTAACATTCCGAACTAAGTGGATACTTGTGATTGGCTAAAAGCTAAGGTTTCTGGCAAGGTTTCTGCCGTTGCCTCCTTACCCACCACCAATCTGATTTTTATGAATATTTCACCGAGAGATGGGGTTTACTGCATATAACGCCATCTGGATGCCGGCCTCCATATTACTCTTAATTGCGCATGCGCTATACATCCAACTTATTTTTGGCCGCTTGGTCTACAGTTTCAAAGACAAGTCTCTACGCAGAAAAATATTAAAATTTCAAGAAAAAAATCAGCCATGAAAAATTACGCTTAATAATTTTAATATTTTTCAAAGTTTTATTTCGAGATGAATAATAAGAATGATGCAGTCTTTTCTGTTTTTTAATTCTGCTTATACCGCGTAGTACACTACAGAAAATTGATTTTGTAAGTTCCTTTATCAAATAGCAGACGGCTTTCTTTTCCAATTCATAGGAAAACATGGCCGAAGTAACATGGCTTTAAATACATGTGTGAGTTGTGAACTTGTAAAATGAGTGTTGTTAAGGCTGCTTCGTTGAAGCCAAATCGCACGATTAATAAATCCTGCCAGGTGGATTTAAGGCTAGATTATCTACCCTAGTGTTTCATTAGAGGTGTAAATCGTGCTATTAACGTTAAGGCCGCGATGTCTTAATAGCAGGATAAATAAATCCACCCGCACGGGTGGATTTACCCTAGATTATCTACCCTAGATCGTACGATTAGTTGGGTTTGGCTCAAATTATGAGAGAGAGAGAGAGATAGATAGATAAATAGATAGATAGATGAAAACATAAATAGAAAGAAATAAGATGAAGAATAA